TAAGATGCAAGAAATACACCAAAATATCTACGAATTTATTACAAAGGTTTCATTGATTACACGTATTATAGGTTTAGCGCTAACAAAACTACGTTCAGAGAAGTAGCAAACCTTTTTGGCGTGACGTTGTCGAACATTCATTTCACCTTCAATAAAGTTTTGAGTTTCTTAGTGGAAGCTGTTGCGTCGGAGTCAATAAGATTTCCAAAGGAAGATGTTGAGAAAGAAGCTATTGCGAAGGAATTTGAAAAGGTTTATATTAAAACTTAAAAGTTGGTTATTAAAGCACTTCCACAAAAAAGAAAGCATATGAGTTTCCGCTGTAGATTGCAGTCTGCCTCCCTTGTAGCTCCTTTTTACATACCATCTGCTAGAGGAATACCTTGCCACGAGATATTCTGCACTGCCGCGGGTAATGCGGAAGTTTGTTTTGAACTGCAATGTAAATAAAATGTATTAAAAATTTCTTTCCTCAGCCATATTAAAGCACTTACCTCCAACTCGGTGTAGGAGTGAACAACATTTACTATGAAGTCTTGCACGCGTGGATAAGGGTTTCTTCTTAAAAGAACCGCCTCAATCTCTTCTTCCGATGATGAAGACGAATCTAGCAATTCGTCTAATAATTCACTCAATCCAATTACTGCTTCCATTTCATCGTTTTTTCGGCTTAAATTTTTTTCAGCGTTCTTGTGAAAAAATAATAAACAATCAAAATCAGCTGTTTTGCGGTGTGACATTGCCACACCATCATTTTATAGAGGGTAGAAAGTGGAACACTTTTGCGCTGCCAGAATGTAACAATTTTCACAAAAGAATGCGATACCCCTTTAATATGTTGCCTACTTTTAAGAAAAGAACATAACATCTTGACAGCCATTTCGCAGTGCAGAATAAGTGTAGAATTTTTTCGAGAAAAGAAAACGCTATTAGTGATTCGCCAGCCATACATTCAGACTCGGGTGAAGATCAAGATCAATCTGCGAAGAAACGACGAGTTGAAGAAATACCAAAAAAGTCTAAGCAATCAAAGCATATAGAGTCCAGGGAAGAAGAGCCGACAAATGTCCGAATTATCAATGGCGAGAAATCACAACAAAAAGAGATTTGCGTTGTCTAAAGTATTTTCGATGGCAGATAAGTTACGCGAACATATGGATAAGCAGCATCGCGGCGATCATGTAAAAAATTGCCCCAAATGTTATGCACAATTCCACTCAGAGGAAAAATATGAGGCTCATATGTCTAGTGAGAAGTGTTTCGACAACAAGCTTGCATGCCAATATTCCAGCTGTACGAAACGTTTTAGCAAACGCTCGAAAATGCAACAACATATGCATGAAAAACATCTCCAGAAGTGATGAGCTTGAATGGAAATTGAGGTACTTTCTAAAATTTTTATTTTGTAGGCATTATCGGTTAGCTTTTGTCATATTGTTCATTAGCAAGATTTAGATATTAAGTTGTTTTATATCTATTTAGTCGTTTTTTGTTACTGTAAACGAGTAATTATTGTATATATATATTAGGGTGATCCAAAATAACTAACCTGACGAATTTACGGCCTTAAAATGAACTATTTACTGAGAAGGAAATTCTCCCACTTGAAAACATTTTTATTTCAATTTTAAAAGTTGTCAGTCGACATTTGAAATTTTCTATATTAATAACATTTAAAAAAATTAGTTTTCATTGTGTTCAATATTTACGATATTGGTTTCGATATTAAAAAGTAGTATTTATTAACAATAATTCAAATTTACAATATTTCAAGAAAATTATGAAAGTATGGTTGAATGCATATGCATGTATGCATGAACGAATATAATACAAGAGACTTTAATGTTTGAAGGTGACTTTAATTAACAATAATATGTATGTAGAAACTGAGAATGTTAATACGCGGAAAGTATGAATGATTTTAAATAACAACTTGAGTGCAAGAATTAATGTTTAACAATATGAGAAGGTTCGCGAAGCGAATGATTTTATGAAATGAAATATAATTTAACTGTACAAGTACGCAAACTATTAAAAAGATAATGCGAACGATTTGATCGATGAATAGAGGTCCTGGTAAGCGGAAATCCCTCGGTGGCTGAAA